TTGTAAATGAAATCTTTTTAGAGGGGAGATTCCCAGACAGAAAAATAACAATGTCTTTCGATTGAATTGGTTCATTATGTATGAAGATCAACACACATTATGATTGGTTGAACATTACTGTACTTAGCGCTGATTGGATTTTGCCGAAAATTCTCCATCTACCTATTAGGGATTATGATTCTACTGTGGCGTGTTTACATTTAGAAGATACTTATATTTTCAATGTTTATGGAATGTGATATAAACGATATTTTAAGCCGGAATGACTTCTACATCTTGAAGTTGATTGCATGCTGTTTAGATAGCTGTTTCCAACAACCTCCTTATATCAACGTATACAAAAAGATTCAAGGAATTATCATTCATGAGGACAAGCCTCTACTTAGTGAAATAGATGATGTGATACACATTTTATTAGAAAAGGTAAACTAAACATTACATTTGATATATAATACATAATATTTTTACTCGGCACTAATAAATGTTGACTTTCTAATATTAAGGCACAATTGCTTTGTGTCTTAATTAAGTTCCACTTCGAGATAGGAACCGATATCTACATATTGCATAATGATTTTGGAAAATATTACACTTATAAGACAATTATTGCAATTTAATTAATTAATCTAAACAAATATTGAACGTTATATATTGTTGCTTTGCAGTAACTGTTTAGAAATGGTAAGAGTTGTTTACATCAATACGAAGAAAGTGCATTAATTGACATTGAAATTGCCACTACGATGTATTTCAATCTAAAAAATGAAATTTGAAATGTTGATTTATCACTTTATTTGGAAAATAGTCATATCATGCTATAAAGATAACGGTTTTGAAGTTGTACTTACAACGAATGTATTTAAAGCTTGATAAAATACGAGTTAATAAATGAACATCTGTGGTTCAATACATAGATATAGTGTCCATATTTGAAATCGTATATTTGTATTTAATAAATCTAAAATGTACTTTATTAAAAAAAAAAAAAAAAAAAAAAAAAAAAAAAAAAAACAAACAAACAAACAAACAAAAAAACAAACTTATCACTTTTTACTTTCGCTATATAATAATAAGACATGGTTACCGAAAAATCATCCGATTTTCAACTTTAATTATTTAAAATCGTAATCGAAGATGATTTGATTTATACTTCAACGTTTTATTTAGATTTATATCACTTATTACAAATGAATAAACGCACGCAGACATGCTTTTCATTGATCAGTACTTTTCGTTAAACCTTTTTTTTATAAGGAACATGATCACTTGTGGGTTTTATTAATATCCTTAAACACTTTCTATTACCAAACTTGAGAAAGCTTACACAAACCAAATATGTGGCAACATGTAAAGGTTTGCCGTTAAGGAATTTCTTCAGGGATTTTCTTAATTTTATTGTCACATCCACGTTATTTGCGTCGTGTTGAAACCGTAAAAAGTCACAGCAATATGTTTCCTCTCCACACGCTTTTTGTTTGTAGTGGTATTTCGAGTATCTTCACAAGCCCCTTTCAAACTGCCATCCCGTAAGGCTTCATCAAATGTTTTCTACTTTTAGAGCACAACCATATATTAACTCCAAACAGATCTGCGGATGCTACATTATTCAAAATTAACCAATTCATGCTAAATTGATAATTTTGTTTTAGCCTTCCATATAATTACTTTCAAGATAGGTTGTTCGCTTTTAAGTTTTCCTTTTGGCAGCTTAAATATATATATAAAAAAACGTCTGATCTCCTTTGAAAATTCCATTTTATTTAGTTCCGGCCAATTTTGCTCTTTATAGCACACGTAGTTTCTTTTGTTATACCTCTGCGGGTGTTTGTACATTCAAGATTAAATATTTTAATCACCCTAAGATAGTGGTTGGCAGCGAGGGTTGTAGCTTGCATTTTCCAATATCGTCCAAGGACAGACTCAATCAACCGATCCTGCAACATTTAGATTTTGCCGTTCTGGACGTTCTTAAGGTATTCCTTAATCTCTATTGAATGGACATTTATACTGGTAGTATCTAATTAAATTTGTATTGTTTCGAAACAAAAATCCGAAATCGTTGGCGATTTGTAATTGAAATTATTGAGTAATAATTATTTCATTATGAAGCGGGACTTAGTACGAGACACGTTTTCAGAAATTTAGAGCTAAAACATGGGCACAAGTATTATGGTTTCGTAAAATCTTTAGATAATGTCGGATATCAAAGTATAGTTGCTGTATCAAATGGAATAAAGATTGATATTACTCCACCAACAGCATACATATGTCAAACATATGTTTATATCAAACATGTATCAGAAGTGTTAGACACCATTGATAATAAAATGAACTTAACTTTCAACGCTTCCTTGGGCACATTATATAGAATAGTTGGCTATCTATCTTTAGACAAATGCGACGAAGCAAAACTTGTGTTTCACTTAGGTCAGTTTCACACGTTGCTTCCACTCATTTAATATCATAATCAAACACTATTCTTCGAGCATACCTTCTTGTCTGACAATGCTGCTCCTCAAACCATTCAGGTCGAATACCTCAATTCAAATAAAGAATATTTTGCTTTGAACATGACATTATGCGACATTCGCTTTAAAGACAATAAATTACCATATTTATTTCATACAAGCATTTTGGAAGTATTATATAAATAACACATGGGTTTGTGGGTAACAGTAAATTTTTACTGTTTCTCACAAACCCATGTGTTATTTATTTTATTACCCCGAACAAAAATACTGTGATGATATGAAATTGTCAACTAAATCTAACTGTAACAAAAATAAACCAAGAGTAACAATAACTAAACTGTCCTTACCTTTTAAATTTTAAGTGTACTTTAGGCCTACTTGAGAAGTTTTCTTTTTCTTTTATTCTTGAAGCAAGTGATGATATCTACAAATCATAAACAAACAATAAGCTAGGTTTTATTTAGAAAACAAAACACTAACCCATTTACACGGTTATGATCTCTGAAATCTGATCCTTCTGTTTCCAGAATACTCTTAGCATAGTTTTTGACAAAATAACGATGATATCCTATGTCTGTCCACCATATCTGCAACGTTTCACTGATTAAAATTGTTAAATAATCCTGTGCTGCATGCTTAAATCTTCTGCATGTCCGAGTTTGACACATAATTATTTACATTGAAATTACTTCCGTTGGAAACGGATGTTCACTTTTTGACTATTCAACAAAAAGATATTTTACACGCGAAAAGCACACAAGGGTGCGAACAACTAAATTTTATGAGTGTCATAGTTACTCCAAAGAAGAAATTGATGTCCTATCGGGGTTTAACGTCGTAAATAAGAATGAATCGAGAAAAAAATGTCGGCCATTTTATTTCATTTTATTTAGAAAATAGACCACGTGACCAGATTTTATACTGTTACCTATGTAACAGTACACAATTCTTAGTCACGTGGTACACTTGCATTAAGAGTAAAAATAACTCACAGAGGCCTATGGGAAATTAGCATAACAAACAAGTGAGGGGTAATCAACTTTATTAACATTCAAACAATAATTTTTGCATCAGATATATAGCTTTATACACTTAAAAAAGCCAGATCGGATCAAAATCCAAATTCATTTCACCATAAAATGGTATCTTTATTCTTTCAATCCGACTATTAAACGAGTCGTCCAAAAATCCGAGGTAATTAATATGTAAATAATGACCAATGAGCAAGTTTTGTTTCGATTTAATAGATGTCGAAATTACTAAAAAAACGGCCGTCTTACCCTTGGAAGGATACAAATACACACTGACTGGCAGCGATGTATATTTTTATCGTTTTTGTCAACGGTGCTTTTCAAACCAAGCTGTAATGTATAAATCTGATTAAACATGTAGTTAACTTGAGTTTCTACATTGTTAGAGAGAAAATTTTTTGAAGCTGTCTATCCATACATATATCTCTACTCGTTTTCTTACAACGAACATTCATTTTTAATTTTTTATTGGTGGAGGAAGGGGGTCGCAGATAGGGCAACTGCATTTCGGTTGTAAGCTAAAGGAAATACTACATGTATCATCTACAGAACAATGTTAAGGCCTCAACAACGTATGTTCATAAAAAGTCGCGGGTAAAAAATCCGCGAATTTTTAGCTGCGACTTTTTGCGCAAAGACATTTTTCTGGTCATAAAAAGTTAAAAACAAAATATCGCGGATCATAATGACCGCAATCGGGTATGTTTGTGTGCCTTTATTTACTATGTTGACAGAGAATGTCGCGGTTTCCTTCGTAAAACTCGATTTGTTACGACAGAAATGTGACAGAAAAATCTCGACAGTTCCTATAAGCTGCGACATAAAATATCGCGGATTTAAAAGTTGCCCGCGACATTTTATAAACTGACGCTTCCATTTTTTCGCGGCTTCAAAATGGATGCCATCGGCCACCATTGTTTTCAATTTATACTTATGCATGCATATATGTATTATTTTGTATTTAACCTTTATTCAGTATTTGGATAAGCATTGGTAAATTATATATTTTGTTTAGCAATCCTATAGATTCAAATCACTAAATGACAAATTGGGGAAGATTGGTAAAGTACATACATTTGATATAATTGATTTTTTTATCCACAGTTATTGTTTATAAAAGAGGGACAACAAAATAAATAAGTTAACTTTTCATTAGGGGATATGATAAGTGTTATACATCTAACGTTAATCAGCAATAACTTGTGTTTAGCTCTGTTTGCAGATGTTAAATGCAATTATGAATTTGATAATAATTAAGGACATAACACTTAAACACACTTAGGTAACAATTTAACTCTATGAAGACACTTGACACCATCTTTTGTAAATGAAATCTTTTTAGAGGGGAGATTCCCAGACAGAAAAAATAACAATGTCTTTCGATTGAATTGGTTCATTATGTATGAAGATCAACACATTATGATTGGTTGAACATTACTGTACTTAGCGCTGATTGGATTTTGCCGAAAATTCTCCATCTACCTATTAGGGATTATGATTCTACTGTGGCGTGTTTACATTTAGAAGATACTTATATTTCAATGTTTATGGAATGTGATATAAACGATATTTTAAGCCGGAATGACTTCTACATCTTGAAGTTGATTGCATGCTGTTTAGATAGCTGTTTCCAACAACCTCCTTATATCAACGTATACAAAAAGATTCAAGGAATTATCATTCATGAGGACAAGCCTCTACTTAGTGAAATAGATGATGTGATACACATTTTATTAGAAAAGGTAAACTAAACATTACATTTGATATATAATACATAATATTTTTACTCGGCACTAATAAATGTTGACTTTCTAATATTAAGGCACAATTGCTTTGTGTCTTAATTAAGTTCCACTTCGAGATAGGAACCGATATCTACATATTGCATAATGATTTTGGAAAATATTACACTTATAAGACAATTATTGCAATTTAATTAATTAATCTAAACAAATATTGAACGTTATATATTGTTGCTTTGCAGTAACTGTTTAGAAATGGTAAGAGTTGTTTACATCAATACGAAGAAAGTGCATTAATTGACATTGAAATTGCCACTACGATGTATTTCAATCTAAAAAATGAAATTTGAAATGTTGATTTATCACTTTATTTGGAAAATAGTCATATCATGCTATAAAGATAACGGTTTTGAAGTTGTACTTACAACGAATGTATTTAAAGCTTGATAAAATACGAGTTAATAAATGAACATCTGTGGTTCAATACATAGATATAGTGTCCATATTTGAAATCGTATATTTGTATTTAATAAATCTAAAATGTACTTTATTAAAAAAAAAAAAAAAAAAAAAAAAAAAAAACAAACAAACAAACAAACAAAAAAACAAACTTATCACTTTTTACTTTCGCTATATAATAATAAGACATGGTTACCGAAAATCATCCGATTTTCAACTTTAATTATTTAAAATCGTAATCGAAGATGATTTGATTTATACTTCAACGTTTTATTTAGATTTATATCACTTATTACAAATGAATAAACGCACGCAGACATGCTTTTCATTGATCAGTACTTTTCGTTAAACCTTTTTTTTTTATAAGGAACATGATCACTTGTGGGTTTTATTAATATCCTTAAACACTTTCTATTACCAAACTTGAGAAAGCTTACACAAACCAAATATGTGGCAACATGTAAAGGTTTGCCGTTAAGGAATTTCTTCAGGGATTTTCTTAATTTTATTGTCACATCCACGTTATTTGCGTCGTGTTGAAACCGTAAAAAGTCACAGCAATATGTTTCCTCTCCACACGCTTTTTGTTTGTAGTGGTATTTCGAGTATCTTCACAAGCCCCTTTCAAACTGCCATCCCGTAAGGCTTCATCAAATGTTTTCTACTTTTAGAGCACAACCATATATTAACTCCAAACAGATCTGCGGATGCTACATTATTCAAAATTAACCAATTCATGCTAAATTGATAATTTTGTTTTAGCCTTCCATATAATTACTTTCAAGATAGGTTGTTCGCTTTTAAGTTTTCCTTTTGGCAGCTTAAATATATATATAAAAAAACGTCTGATCTCCTTTGAAAATTCCATTTTATTTAGTTCCGGCCAATTTTGCTCTTTATAGCACACGTAGTTTCTTTTGTTATACCTCTGCGGATGTTTGTACATTCAAGATTAAATATTTTAATCACCCTAAGATAGTGGTTGGCAGCGTGGGTTGTAGCTTGCATTTTCCAATATCGTCCAAGGACAGACTCAATCAACCGATCCTGCAACATTTAGATTTTGCCGTTCTGGACGTTCTTAAGGTATTCCTTAATCTCTATTGAATGGACATTTATACTGGTAGTATCTAATTAAATTTGTATTGTTTCGAAACAAAAATCCGAAATCGTTGGCGATTTGTAATTGAAATTATTGAGTAATAATTATTTCATTATGAAGCAAAAAGCTCATGTGATGTATGAACAAAAAAACTTTTTTTTCGTATGCTATTAATGAAAACTATAAGAGTATTGGTGTTTTTCTACACATAAGTTTTAGAATGTTTTTTGTCACTTGTAATCACATGATTCAATAAAAATTATATAAAAAATCTTTTGATTTAAAAGATGGTTAAAATGTTTTATCTAGAATGCTGCTACAAGTGTTACAAATATTGGTGTGGTTTGCATATATCGATGATGTGGGTAAGTCTACTCAAAGCCTATCGTTTCTACACATATCATGTTCAGCTTATTAATTGTTATTTTTTCTGATCTTAATTGCGGTTCTTACTGATACATCACAAAAAAATGGACTAATCTATATAAAAAATTTCACGAGGAAACCACGTGACTTTGTATAGTAATCACTGTGACGACTGTGGAGGCTCAGCTCGGAAAGTTCAATATTTTGAAACATTTCGAAGACAAACATTTCTGGAATCTTAACAAGACATAGGCTATTATTGGTGCCCTTATTTTTCCCAGGGTACTAAGTGCGCTTTTGAACGTTTTATTTTATCCAGAAAATTACTTGAATTGTATCAAAATTCCGCCATGAGTCCGTATCGTACCATTCAATCTTGAAAAGGTATCACACAGTTTTGTGTTCGACCCCCTGACTTACAGGACACCTAGTAGTTTGGATTCTGGGATTTGTCTGACGAAATGTAACAAGACAATGAATGTTCCTTAGCCCCATGGTGACCGATATGCGGTTGGATTACTACACAAAGTCACGTTTGTTTGTTTGTGTGATTGGGTTTTAAGTCACACCGACACAGTATAGGTCATTTGGCGACGTTCCAGCTTTACTGAAGGAAAACCTCAGAGGTGCCCTTCCGTGAATTATTTCAGGCACGAACGGGCACCTGAGTAGAACCACCGACGTTCCGTAAGCTAGCTGGATAGCTTCCTCATATAAAAGAATCCAAAGTCCCTGACGGGATCCGAACCCACGGCGGTGAGGGGCAAGTGGTTTGAAGTAGACGACCTAAACCACTCGGCCACGGACGCCCCACAAAGTCACGTGATTCTGCATAGATTGTTATGGTATCTCTAATAATACAAACTGTCAGATACTATTCTAAATTATTTTCTAATTTGATCATAATCTTTAAACATGAAAATTGTTCTTCATGCAATAACGGTCATTTTTGAAATGGCTATAAACATCTTCTATGAATTCCTTTGAAAACCAGATATGTGCTTTACAAACTGTGGTCTTTGGAACCAATGTTCACGATCATGTGGTGGAGGAAGCCGGGGGCAGATTTGTGAATCATGTGTTCTAAGAAAAAGGAAATGGTTTTGGGAGGACTGTAACCAGCATTGCTACAATGGCGGGAGGTTTTATTCAGGATCTTGTCATTGTTCTCCATGGAGAAGTGGCCGATGTTGTGAAAGTATTTAAAATTCTGTATTTTTTTAAGATTAAATGAAAAACACTCACTCCTTAGCAATTATATTTAATATTTACGAATAGTGTGATTTGATATCAATTTCGTCTTATTATAATACATTGTTCATAAAAGAAACTGCATCACAGTTGTGTTTTAAAAGATTTGCTTCGTATATTGATTTACACTTTCATTGTCTGTACATAAAATGCGTTTGTATTTTTTCACAATGTTTCAATTTTGTGCTTTGTCTCAAGAGTGAGTTTTGAGGGATGATTTTCTCAACTTGTAATTGTGTAGATACTTATCTTGATCAATTATTTTGTTTCGTGTATTTTGCACTTTATAATTGTTTCGTTTAACTGTGTTACAACGACATGCAACATACTTTTTGTATACCTGTACTCTCGATTTCTGATGGTCTGGGAAGAAATAATTTATGTTCCATGCTTCGTGTCTGTTTCATTAAGATTGCTATCACAAGTATATAGCACACTGTCAATCTGGACATAAAAGGTGTGGAGGATCTCCTGACAATATTAAATGTACCAAATGTGATGATGGTTACTACAGTGCTGGATATGGAGAAGGCTGTAAAGGTACATATTTCTTTCCTACTGTTTAGCCTTCATATGTTTGCAACGACAGAATGAAAATGCATTGAATGTACATGTCTAGTTTATTAACTAATTACAATTGAAAATGTATGGCTTCAATTCCAAATTTCTTTACATTAATATAAATTGACAAATCAAGAAACAACAAGGAAGTCACCTAAAAAGAAATTTTAACATTTGATAATGAATTTCGCATGTCGTCTAGAGCCAAAATAGCACTATTTCAGTATATGAACTTTGCGGTACTTAACTTTTAAAAAATATTATTCAAAACATCCCGATTAAGTGTTATGACAAAAATGCTCACTATCATGGTAAGATGTTGTGTGAAAAATACGCGTAGAAAAGGTAGCATTGAACCACACACTTAAATCCATCCGACAACTATGATATAACTTCACAAATACTATTGCTATCCCGTTGCTTTATTTTAAATATACATTCAAACTCATGTCGACGAAACGTTGCAATTTTGACTCATATTCACTATTATAATTATAATAGTCTATAAATTATAGTTCATATAAACAAGAATAAAAAGAAATAATTTATTTTTCTACCATACAACATCTGGACATGTGTTTGAAATAAAAGTGTTTTTTATATGCAACATTTTTGTAATTTTTTTCCAGCTTGTTCCTATATTGATATGTGTAGCTGGAGAAAATGTAACACATACTGGGACACGCGGTGCATTACATGCTACGATAATAATATATTCTTCAAGACTACCCACGGAGGCAGCAAATGTGAACGTAAGTTGTTTTACTATTCAAATAGAGAAACATTATTCTTAATGTTTGATTTAAACAATCAGAACTTATAAGGGGATACTATCTATATAATATTAAAGAAAAACTCCAATGCGCAATATAATTATAGCCTTTTAAAATGTAGGTCCAATTTAATAATCAAGGGAAATGCTTTAGTTGTGATTAGCTTACCTAATGTTAAAATTTTGACAATATATAATTATCAAGGATTAGTTCATTTATCCGTTTATTAAATACCACTGACGTTTGCCAGAAAAACTAGTCTTAAAGGAATTCAACTGAGGTCGAAAGCATAAGATCACAACAATTGAATTTTTACATTTATCAAGTAAAACACTTTAAAACAGAAAAATATACAAAAGATCATTCAGAAATATACTCGGGAATGAATTGTAATTGTTTGTTTTGAGCTTTACTAGCCCAGTTTATATGTAACACTTTTCAATTTCGGTCATTTTTCACGATTAGAGTAAACTTGAACGTATATTTTTGTATTGTTCTACAGAATTTATGAATTGAATTTCAATACAGTCAGAAACGTTCATACCTTTAAACTTGGCATGTTGTTAGAATATGACGACAGAAATATTTCACGCGAAAAACACTGGGGTGTCACCGATATCACTTTTGACTTATCTGCCCTTGAATCATATTTGGGACCATCCAAAGGGCACAACACTTATACATACGTCTTCAAAATCTTGTTTTTTATTGTTGTATTTCCGGAATGAATGAAGCAAAAATGCCCATTCAGGGGGACATATAACTCAAACACGAGAATGGCGGTCCCCAATTCTTTCGCTTTAAAAGTTTTGTCTGTTTTCATATTTCAACAACATGCCACGTTTCAAAAAATTATGTTGAACATTTTAAATGTTGCCTATAAATCTGTATGCAAACTCCCAAAAACGTCTTCAGTAAAACCACCGTCTTAATTTGTAAGCATGTTCATATATTAACAAAAATTCGGAAGAAAATTAATTCATAATCAACTCAGTCAACATTATTGTTGGTGTTCTGTTTAAGTGTTTTCAAAATACATTTCAATTTTTCATTTTGAGGTGCTCTTATGTACTTAGGTGACTGTAAGTGCACAGGAAATTATAAGTGTTTACGAGTAATGTAATTACCTAATTAAGTTAAATTATTGAAATGTGCAAACTTCCCGCTTTTATGTACTTCCTACTTATATAAGTGAATGATTAAAGAGGTGTGTAACACGAACAATATGAGGACTCTACTTCATTGTAATTATAGAATTAATAATGAACTAACATTTCACTTATAATATCATGGCTTATTCAGAAAACTATACATACTTGATTCAGACTAATAATGGTTACAGACGTTGCTACGACAGGTGATGTCTTGCTCTTCCAAAGATATTACCCTTAGACATAAGATCATTATTATACGAAGGTCATAGAATGGATATTATATGCCAGTCTAAGCATATAATCTGATTTATGTAATGTTTTTAATATAAATTTTATTTTTTACTGCTTTTCTGGACATCAATTTTTCTTTTAAATAAACAGATTAGTCAACTCTGGTTTGTAATTCTTTATCAATTGGCTGTACCAATTGTATAATTATATTAACGGAACAAAGATAATTAGTTTTTGACCAAAGAAAAAACAAACAAACGTATTTAAGAAATCACCCACATTACAACTGCTTTAACTTGGATGGATTGAAACAAAAATCGTTGATCAATAGTGTGTCTTTGTTGAACTTGACAAATTAAAAGAAGTACATATGATACTAGTACATAACAAATAAATCATATAATAAATGAAAACAGCTTGCCTGACTGTCTGGTTGACATTTTTCTGTGCATTACAGTAGTACCGTATTGGTTAAATATTTGAATCAATTGAAATGGAAAGTGGCTTGAGTGCATTCATTTAGCAAACATGTTGATTGATAAGCAAAACAGTACCACCTATACACAAATCAGTAGATCACATTGAAAGCAATTACAATCATAGTTATTTTTAGTCATTAGTCAGTATTTTACCAGTGGCCCCAAACTCTCACTTACCCCGTCCCCGAGAAAAACAAACTCCCGCAAAGTGCTGGGATAACAGTCGAAAAAGAGACAAAATATTATTTAAGTGAGAGGTTGGGGCCACTTATTTTCGCTTGTTCCTGTGTTACAAGGTCGGTGTTATGGCACGGTCTTTGCGCTAAAATATACTGCTGATATCATAATTGGCCTTAACTACAGAATATGCAATATGTCTCCGTTTTAGTCTTGTCTGAGGCTAATTAGACCTATTTTTTGCACATGCATTCTGTTACTCGAGAGTTTAAAAAGTACGGTTTAAATTTAAGCAAGTCACATACAATCGGAACATATTGTGTTTTGTGTTTAAACTTGGCCTGTAAACCACACCGAGATTGATTTTGCCGTTTTTGGGCACAAACTTGTGATTAATCTAAGCTTTTCTGATCAGACCTCTTTTATGCAAATGACAACGGTTAAACTACAGTTTTAATTTTAGAGTAATGCAATCGGTCCTAAATTTTTATCTGAAACGCATGACATGACAAATACAGAAGATGGGTTCATTAACAATAAATATGTGAGAGTAAGGAAATGGCAAATTAATATTTGCGTTCAACGATTCATGCGAAAATTTCTGTTTTTTTTTCACATAACTAAATTTAAATCATAGTTGGTTTATATATTAAGATATATCACTCCAAATTAGAAATAATTTCTGTCTGATCAGAGTGTCCTTAACAATATTTTACTTTAAGACGTAAAATGCAAGTTCTTTGCAACTTTATGTTTATCTAACCATAAGTGATCGGCGCGTTGATTGGTCATTAACCCCGCCTTTTACCCACTCTACACTCTGCAAAGAAAATGTAAACTGCAGATTTATTTTCATTTGGAGCATGTTTTAATTTTTGATATATGCTTTTAACTCAATTTCCTCCTTACCCTGCAAAAAAGATACATAAATATTTAGTAAAGCTACGCGACTCATCGTTCATTTTTCAGCACTCGTCTTCATTTGAACTCCATTACTCTTACATTTTTCACCAAATTTCAAAATCTTGGTACCAAACGGTCGGAAATAGATTAATCTTAAAGGAAATAAAGCTTGATTTGCAATGATTTCAAGTTAGATATGTAATCTCAAAGTCACCGCTAGTGTAAGTCGACCGCTTGTTGTTTTTTTTTTTGCAAAAATTACCCTTAGGTACAACAATCATAAAACTTAATTGTGCTTCGAAATACGTCTTGTTTTAGATTTTAATTACCAGGGAAAACTTATGGGCTTTACTTTTCTTTAATTTGTTATTAAATAGGTATTGAAATTGAAAAAAAATGGTTGAACAACTGGTATTGGTGTTTTTGTGTGCCATTACATTTCTGATGTTAGAGGTCACTTTGGATGGCAAAATAAAAACATAACCAAGCTCACTTAGTAAATAAATAGTGATGACACTTAAAACTCACTATAAATATATTTTGTAAATATATATAAATACGGAAAAAGAACTACATATGCAACTTTACTTTTGATATCTACAAAAAATGAAGATTAACATATTTCGCTTGTAAGGTCAAGTGTTTTAATAGAAATCTTTGTTAATGTATTTTGTGCATTTATAATGTGCATACAGTTAAAGATTCTTTCTTTGTCACAAATTTTTCACGCAGTCAAGCAGAGGAAAATATCAAACATAACCAAGAACTTGAATAAAAACTAATATAAGCAAATACCAATTATTTAACTTTTCTGTGAAGAATTAAGAGATCAGTTATTAGTAACATACATAATATTTTGACACTCTAAGTGATATACATGTACTCTGTTTTGAGTAAATCCAATTTCTCACAAAAACATCAGTTAAAAATAAGTGATTACAATTTAAAGGATAGTTTTGATTAAACAGGTATGTGCGCTTCGAACAAACACTATTGTTGGCCAGGATATTGCAGTAACGAACTGACGAGAGGCTGCTCTTGTGCGCCACATTTCAAAATGATACAGCATAGTGGGGAAACTTCCTGCCAACCAAATAAGCTTCCATCTATTCTAACATGTGGAACGGTTGTGGTTGGTCCTAATATCGAGAAGAAGCAGGCTAGAAGCAGCACAAATTCCACAGAGTGTCAATATCTTACTGATATGTATGGTAACTTTCAGCCGTCGTATTTCAAATTTGATTTTGGTACGGAATATACCATCGATATTAGAAGCTATACAAAACCACCTTTTATACACGAATCCCATTTTGGTATAACAGACTTTGCTACAAGTGTCGTCAAATTATCGGTTGATGGTAAGATTCTGTTTCAAATAAAGTACTTTTACCTATGGTGGCTGATTAACGTCATGTCGTATTTTCCCTTCTTTGCCTCAAAATTTGAAATGCGAAAACACGAAGGGATGACAAAGTATCACTTTGTCGTCTCTTCGCATTTTCGCCTTTTCGCATAGTTACATTTTTGCATTGTTATATTTTCGCATTTTCGCGTTCCGGTTGTACATGCGCATGGAAACATCGATCACCCGCTCCTTACACATGTAAAATAATGAAATAATATAACGGTAAGGTACGGTGGCACAATTGTGACATGTGTGTATTTTATTTATCTCGTGGCCACGAGATACTATGTCGTGGCCACGAGTTACTTAGTCATGGCCACGAAATAGTTAAGTCGTGGCTACGAGATACTATGTTGTGGACACGAGTTTCTACGTCGTGGCAACGAGATAGCTTAGTTATGACCACGAGATACTATGTTGAAGCCACGAATTACTAAGTCGTGTCAACGAGATACTATGTCGTGGCCACGAGTTACTAAGTCGTGACCAAGAGATAGCTAAGTCGTGGCCACGAGATACTATGTCGTGGCCATGAGTTACTTAGTCGTTGCCACGAGATAGCTAAGACCTGGCCACGAGGTACTATGTCGTGGCCACGAGTAACTAAGTCGTGGCCACGAGTTACTAAGTCGTGGTCAGGAGATAGCTAGGTCGTGGCCACGAGATACTATGTCGTGGCCATGAGTTACTAAGTCGTGGCCACGAGATAGCTAAGTCGTGGCCACAAAATAAAAAACCAATCAGATAACACAATTTACATGAATTTCCCTAATTAACTCGACATGTGCTTTAGTACAAGGATGTCCCTAGTTCACCAGCCTGTAAAAGTGCCATTTATACAACTAATCGACTGGTCAATAATTTCATATTTAACGTGACTGTGTCCCTGATTTTCGACCCAATAACCTCGAAATTATTAGATGTCATCTACTGTTCAGGTGCAATGATCTTTCTGGGTTAAATAAACCATGGCTTATTCCTTCTAAATTATTCATCAGACAGGGATTTTACCTTATAGAGGTTATCTACTGTCCATGGGCAATGTCCCTACCAAATAAAATAAACAGGACTTATTCCTTCTCATATTATCGTATAAACAAGTTTAACAGGCCGTAGTACGTACAAATTGACCAATTCGATCATAAAAATGTCCCAACAAAGAGCTATAGTCACAATTAATGTCTGATGGGCCATGGAAGGTGACTTTCTAATATGATCCTAAAGACAATTTCAAAGTGAATATCTTCAGTATTTGTATAATGATGCATGTAAAAGTAAGTTAAGTTTTAAAAAATTCATAATATATATAGTGTATTCTGATTAATTAATTACCTCGTGGCCACGACTTAGCTATCTCGTTCACACGACTTAGTAACTCGTGGCCACGACATAGTATCTCGTGGCCATGTCTTATCTATCTCTTAGCCACGACCTAGTAACTCGTGGCCACGACATAGTATCTCATGGTCACGACTTGGCTATTTCGCTTGACCACGACTTAGTAACTCGTGGCCACGACATAATATCTCCTGGCCACGAGATAAATAAAAAAAACACACAC